CCAAAAAAAAAAAAAAAAAAAAAAAAAAAATGAATTAAGATACTCAAACTTCTCATTCTGTTAAGGTAGCAAGAAATTAAATTTTCATCAATATCAGGGATTCTCATCTCCAACCCAGGCTTTAAACGATACTGGGGAAAGAGAGCAGATAGCTCTAGTTCATCAAGGTTTCTGCTAACATCTGTATTGTCCAGGGTCATAGTGGTCTCTGGAACTCTGACAGCTTTCTCCTTGCATACCATTCAGGTATGGCCAGGAAAGTTGGCTGAGGCTATGAACTCCAAAGCCTCTGTCTAGGCACATGGCCATCTCCTCTAAAATCCTGCCAGTTCCTTGAAATGCTGCACCAAGCAGAGCTCAGGTCTCATCACCTTCCTATTTTAAAACTTTAAAATTTGAGGAAATATGTCATTCTATCATTTTGCTTATGATCACTCTGAAAAGAGACGTATTTTCTCTTCTTGTTGTTCCCAAAGATGCTTGTCATAAACTCTAGTGAATGCTGTATTAAAAAAAAAAAAAAAAAACGAAAGGAAATGAGTATCTTGCAAGCAACTTTCTACTTTTAGCTCCCTTACTTAAAATATCTCCTGAGGGACTTCCCTGGTGGTCCCGTGGTTGAGACTCCACGTTCCCAGTGTCGGGGGCCTGGGTTCATTCCCTGGTCAGGGAACTAGAGCCCGCATGCCACAGCTAAAGATCCTGCACGTGGCAACAAAGATCCCGTGTGCAGCAACTAAGACCTGGTGTGGCCAAATAAGTAAATTAATGAATTAAAAAAAAACAACAACAAAAACCCTCTGCTGAGACAGGGGATACAACAGCAACAAATAAAAAGTGGTTTTCTTTGTGTAAGAGGGAAAAGATGCAGAGCACACCTGGGATTAGGGTGAAGCAAGGTAAAAACAGCTTTATTGAGATATAATTCACATACCAAACAATTTACCCGTTTAATGTATACAATTTACTGTTTTTTTGTTATGTTCACAGATATGTACAAACATCACCACAGTCAATTTTAGAACATTTTCATCACCTCAAAAAGAAATCTTACGCCCTTTAGCTATCAGACCCCTGTCACCCTATCTCCCACTCCCAGGCCTAAGCAATCACTAATCTACTTTCTATCGCTATAGATTTCCCTGTTCTGAACATTTCATATAAATAGAATCAAATACTATGGGGTCTTTTGTGACTAACTTCTTTCACTTATCATAGTGTTTTCAAAGTTCATTCATGTTGTAGATGTATCAGTCTTTCATTCCTTTCTATAGTTGAATAATATTCAATATGTAGGTTTACAACATTTTGTTGATCTGTTTGTTCATTGGTGGACATTTGGGTTGTTTCTGCCTTTGGCTATTATGAATAATGCTGCTATAAACATTCACGTACAGTTTTGTGTAGAATATGTTTTCGTTTCCCTTACGTATATACCTAAGAGTGGATTTCCTGGATCATGTGGTAACTTCTATGTTTAATCATTTGAGAAACAGCCAGACTATTTTCCACAGCAGCTGCACCATTTACATTCACACCAGCAGTGTATCCAGGTTCCAATTTCTCCACAGATTTTCCAACACTTGTTATTATCTCACTGTTTGATTCTAGCCATTTTAGTGAGTGTGAAGTGGTATCTCATTGTGGTTTTGATTTGCATTTCCCTAAAGACTAATAATGTTGAGAATCTTTTCATGTACTTATTGGTCATTTGTATATCTTCTTGGGAGAAATGTCTATTCAGATCCTTTGCCCATTTAAAAAAATGTTTTTAAGTTATTGAGTTGTAAGATTTCTTTATATTTCTGGACATAAGCCCTGAAACAATTCAGATATATGATTTACAAATATACCCCTTCATTCTGTGGGTTGTCTTTTAATATTCTTTTTTTTTTTTTTTTAAGTATCTTTTTTTCTCTGGGTTTTTTTTTTTTTTTTTTTTTTGGCCTTGTGGGTTGTGGGATCTTAGTTCTCTGACAGGGATTGAACCT